CCGGTGGCTGGTCCCAGTATAGCTCATAAACCCTGAGCCTCGATCGCCCCCCGGTGGCTGGTCCCAGTATAGCTCATAAACCCTGAGTCTCGATCCCCCCCGGTGGCTGGTCCCAGTATAGCTTATAAACCCAGAGTCTCGACCCCCCCCCCGGTGGCTGGTCCCAGTATAGCTCATAAACCCAGAGTCTAGATCGCCCCCCGGTGGCTGGTCCCAGTATAGCTCATAAACCCAGAGTCTCGATCCCCCCCCGGTGGCTGGTCCCAGTATAGCTCATAAACCCAGAGTCTAGATCGCCCCCCGGTGGCTGGTCCCAGTTTAGTTCATAAACCCAGAGTCTCGATCGCCCCCCGGTGGCTGGTCCCAGTATAGTTCATAAACCCTGAGTCTCGATCGCCCCCCGGTGGCTGGTCCCAGTATAGTTCATAAACCCTGAGTCTCGATCGCCCCCCGGTGGCTGGTCCCAGTATAGCTCATAAACCCAGAGTCTCGATCCCCCCCCCGGTGGCTGGTCCCAGGATAGCTCATAAACCCAGAGTCTAGATCGCCCCCCGGTGGCTGGTCCCAGTATAGTTCATAAACCCTGAGTCTCGATCGCCCCCCGGTGGCTGGTTCCAGTATAGCTCATAAACCCAGAGTCTCTATTGCCGCCCCGGTGTCTGGTCCCAGTATAGCTCATAAACCCAAAGTCTCGATCGCCCCCCGGTGGCTGGTCCCAGTATAGCTCATAAACCCAGAGTCTCGATCGCCCCCCGGTGGCTGGTCCCAGTATAGCTCATAAACCCAGAGTCTCGATCGCCCCTCGGTGGCTGGTCCCAGTATAGCTCATAAACCCTGAGTCTCGATCGCCCCCCGGTGGCTGGTCCCAGTATAGCTCATAAACCCAAAGTCTCGATCGCCCCCCGGTGGCTGGTCCCAGTATAGCTCATAAACCCAGAGTCTCGATCGCCCCCCGGTGGCTGGTCCCAGTATAGCTCATAAACCCAGAGTCTCGATCGCCCCCCGGTGGCTGGTCCCAGTATAGCTCATAAACTCAGAGTCTCGATCGCCCCCCGGTGGCTGGTCCCAGTATAGCTCATAAACCCAGAGTCTCGATCGCCCCCCGGTGGCTGGTCCCAGTATAGCTCATAAACCCAGAGTCTCGATCGCCCCCCGGTGGCTGGTCCCAGTGTAGCTCATAAACCCAGAGTCTCGATCGCCCCCCGGTGGCTGGTCCCAGTATAGCTCATAAACCCAGAGTCTCGATCGCCCCCCGGTGGCTGGTCCCAGTATAGCTCATAAACCCAGAGTCTCGATCGCCCCCCGGTGGCTGGTCCCAGTATAGCTCATAAACCCAGAGTCTCGATCGCCCCCCGGTGGCTGGTCCCAGTATAGCTCATAAACCCAGAGTCTCGATCGCCCCCCGGTGGCTGGTCCCAGTATAGCTCATAAACCCTGAGTCTCGATCCCCCCCCGGTGGCTGGTCCCAGTATAGCTCATAAACCCAGAGTCTCGATCGCCCCCCGGTGGCTGGTCCCAGTATAGCTCATAAACCCAGAGTCTCGATCGCCCCCCGGTGGCTGGTCCCAGTGTAGCTCATAAACCCAGAGTCTCGATCGCCCCCCGGTGGCTGGTCCCAGTATAGCTCATAAACCCAGAGTCTCGATCGCCCCCCGGTGGCTGGTCCCAGTATAGCTCATAAACCCAGAGTCTCGATCGCCCCCCGGTGGCTGGTCCCAGTATAGCTCATAAACCCAGAGTCTCGATCGCCCCCCGGTGGCTGGTCCCAGTATAGCTCATAAACCCAGAGTCTCGATCGCCCCCCGGTGGCTGGTCCCAGTATAGCTCATAAACCCAGAGTCTCGATCGCCCCCCGGTGGCTGGTCCCAGTGTAGCTCATAAACCCTGAGTCTCGATCGCCCCCCGGTGGCTGGTCCCAGTATAGCTCATAAACCCTGAGCCTCGATCGCCCCCCGGTGGCTGGTCCCAGTATAGCTCATAAACCCAGAGTCTCGATCGCCCCCCGGTGGCTGGTCCCAGTATAGCTCATAAACCCTGAGTCTCGATTCCCCCCCGGTGGCTGGTCCCAGTATAGCTCATAAACCCAGAGTCTCGACCCCCCCCCCCCCCGGTGGCTGGTCCCAGTATAGCTCATAAACCCAGAGTCTAGATCGCCCCCCGGTGGCTGGTCCCAGTGTAGCTCATAAACCCTGAGTCTCGATCGCCCCCCGGTGGCTGGTCCCAGTATAGCTCATAAACCCAGAGTCTAGATCGGCCCCCGGTGGCTGGTCCCAGTGTAGCTCATAAACCCTGAGTCTCGATCGCCCCCCGGTGGCTGGTCCCAGTATAGCTCATAAACCCAGAGTCTCGATCGCCCCTCGGTGGCTGGTCCCAGTATAGCTCATAAACCCTGAGTCTCGATCGCCCCCCGGTGGCTGGTCCCAGTATAGCTCATAAACCCAGAGTCTCGATCGCCCCCCGGTGGCTGGTCCCAGTATAGCTCATAAACCCAGAGTCTCGATCGCCCCCCGGTGGCTGGTCCCAGTGTAGCTCATAAACCCTGAGTCTCGATCGCCCCCCGGTGGCTGGTCCCAGTATAGCTCATAAACCCTGAGTCTCGATCGCCCCCCGGTGGCTGGTCCCAGTATAGCTCATAAACCCAGAGTCTCGATCGCCCCCCGGTGGCTGGTCCCAGTATAGCTCTTAAACCCAGAGTCTCGATCGCCCCCCGGTGGCTAGTCCCAGTATAGCTCATAAGCTCCCCATGAAGTCTAATGGGACATGAGACAAAGAATCAAATCACACTTCAAATCAATTTTTTCCAAAGATATTTTCTGTCATTTTAGGTAGTTTTTATCATGCTGATAAAAGTTCAAGTGTTCTTTTTTTTTTTTTTTTTTTATAAGTTTTGTTTTAGCTAGTTATTTGATGCTATAAAATGGGAGTGTGACGTCATGATTGACAGCTGTGATTGACAGCTTCTCTGAGTGAAGTAGTCACTGAGGAACCAACAGACTTTTGTCGGGAGGAGATTGGAGCTTTAACTTTAACTTTAACTTCTACATCTTTTTTCAGTCTATGGTGTGATGTAATGTCTGGGGCCGAGTTCATCCAGACAGCAACCTGGTAAAAATAATAACAATAATAAAAATAAAATGTAAAATTCTTTTCACAGGAAACGATTTGTCTGATTATACAATATGGGCCAGATTACATTATGGCATTGTCTGAGCTGGAAAGTAGGTTCATCTTAAAAAGGCAAGTAAAAATACCCTCGCCATTTTGCTTCATCAGGTGAGATGCATCACATATTAAATCACTATAAGAGAAATCTAATGGGATGCATAGTGTTAGTGTAAGACTAAACGAACATGGGTTCCATTCATTTATGTTATGATATATACTGTATGTATATAGATATGTATATATATAATAACTACAAACTACTTCCATGTAACTTTAACTTTATGGCTTTCAAGAACTCAGTAATAACTACACCTGGAGCTGGAGCTGGATGAACTGATGCTTCTCGTGCACTTTCATTCAAAATACACCGGCAATGTGAAAAACATACTTTACTCTTTTAATGACTTTATTTACAGGGATTGCATAAAAAAATGTTAGGTATTGTACAGAAATTATATTATTTACTGTAGAAAACTTGATGAATCACAGTGCATACGATTTGTTAGTGTTTTTGATTGTTTTGTTTTGCTATCCAGTGAATTAGTGCAATACTTCTCAAACCTGTCCTGCCCTGTGTCCGAATATACCAACTTCCATACTATATACTTTCCCCTCATGTGAAGCCCTCAAATGAACGGATAAACACTGGATCATGCCTTAAAGGGATAGTTCACCCAACAATGAAAATTACCCATGATTGACTCTCCCTCAAGTCATCCTAGGTGTATACGACTTTCTTCTTTCAGACGAATACAATCAGAGTTCTAATTCGTGACTGGTGTTTTGTTTTGCTCTTTCCTCTGCGCTTCCGCGTTCGGCATTGCGTTGTGCGTCGGGTCACGGGTTAGTCTTCCAATCGATGCATACGGCCGTCTGCCAGAAGCTAGTTATTTTAGTCGATAAAGTTTTAAATATGGACATTTTTTCTATGCATCGCTTTGCTTCAGAAGGCCTTTATTAACCCCCCGGAGCTGCTCGGGACACTTTTATGATGGATAGATGCACTTTTATTAGGATGGATGCACTTTTATGATGGACAGATGCACTTTTATGATGGATGGATGCACTTTTATGATGGATGGATGCACTTTTATTAGGATGGATGCACTTTTATGATGGACAGATGCACTTTTATGATGGATAGAAGCACTTTTATGATGGATAGATGCACTTTTTTGATAGATTGATGCACTTTTATGATGGATGGATGCACTTTTATGATGGATAGATGCACTTTTATGATGGACAGATGCACTTTTTTGATAGATGGATGCACTTTTATGATGGATGGATGCACTTTTATGATGGACAGATGCACTTTTATGATGGATGGATGCACTTTTTTGATAGATGGATGCACTTTTATGATTGATGGATGCACTTTTATGATGGACAGATGCACTTTTATGATGGATAGATGCACTTTTATAATGGATGGATGCACTTTTATGATGGACAGATGCACTTTTATGATGGATAGATGCACTTTTATGATGGATAGATGCACTTTTATGATGGATAGATGCACTTTTATGATGGATGGATGCACTTTTTTGATAGATGGATGCACTTTTATGATGGATGGATGCACTTTTATGATGGATAGATGCACTTGTATGGACTGTGCCCATTCACTCCCATTATAAAGCTTGGGAGAGCCAGGACATTTTTTTATATAACTGATTGTATTCGTCTGAAAGAAGAATGTCATATACACCTAGGATGACTTGAGGGTGAGTAAATCATGGGCTAATTAAAATTTTTGTGTGAACTATCCCTTTAACGACTATTTTCAGTTAAAATCCTCTGATAAGAAAAAAATGAGAAAAGAAACATCTGAGAAAATAAATATATAATAATATCTGCAGTTTTTTTTAGATGTCCTGTACATAGTACTTATAGCAAGAAAACAATCAGTCTTTGTCATAATGGTTTCAGCTCTATAAATATCATGTGTTTAGTTTTCCCTCCTGGCAGGCTCTCGTTACTTGCACACGAACTGGTCGACGGTGCGCGAACAGCGCTTGCACCTGACGTAGCAGCACCAGTGGAACTTGCAGTGGCAGCGCTCGACCAGTTGCACCTTATACTGGTCGTATCCTCGACCGCAGCACATGAGCGCGCAGCCGTCCATGCCTTCAGACGTCTTGTTACAGAGCCGACCCTGAGTTCCCAAAGAGCCGGTGGTCTTGTTCCCTACGCAGTAATCCGGACTGGGCTCTATGTACACCAGGTCGTTGCTGGTAGGAGAGTTAAATTTGGAGTGAACTTGAACGAGTTTCCCCCGGCTGTTCAGCTTCATGGCAGCGGCGCTGTCGTATTTCTCCTTCAGAGCGTCGCCAACCCTGCGGAAATCTGCGAGTTGCAACCAGCATGTTTTAAGGCTGCAGGAGCCGGACACGCCGTGACACTTACAGGAGACGTGAGCGAGATCAGACGCTATCTGTGACAGAGAAACAGTTTATTAGCTAGAAAGAATCATGATAAAGTGAGATGCTAAGAATGCTGAGAGTTTGAATCAAGACCCAGATAGTGTTGCAACCAAGCGGGAACCTTCCGGTCTCTCTCTTGAAACCAACACGGAAGTGACTTAACCTGCAGTTCATCCACTGGCCACTAGAGGCCGGCTGCAGAAGAGACTCAATCCTATAGACCCGCATGTTAAAATGCCCAACTTTACAGCAGAAAAAAACATGTTTACAGCCTGGTACTAAAAGTGGTTTTGGTCTATAAAGCTAATTTTGCCCTTCATGACGACTGTGAGGGGGGGGGGAATATTTTCACAACTCATCCGTTTAAATTATATAAAGCCTTAAAGTTCTTCATAATTAAGGGCGTGGCCACTTGAGTGGCAGGTGGATTGCCACTGTATAGACTGTATAAAAATATGGATGTAGTGTCCGACAGTCTATAGGCTTGTCCGACTTGAACCGGCGCTGCACAGACCGATCGGTATATGACATCAAAATACCGTGAGAGTTATTGAAGAGCATATGGAGCCGTCTGCTCTCTAATCGCTCTTGCGGTATTTTGATGTAATTCACTGATCGGTCTGTGGAGCGCCGGTTCAAGTCGAACAAGCCTTAGGAAAACTCCCCAGACAGCAACATAGTGCCGGCCCAGATCCGGCCCACACCTGGTACATGCGGAATCCAAAGGTTGCAACCGTAGACTGTAAAAAAATATGGGCATATTGTCCGTGAGTCACCCGTAGTGTTTCTGAAGACCATTATTGAAGCTCAAAGTGGGCGGAGCCGGCCGTCGCCATCTTGGCAGCATCACTCCTGGATAAACGAAAATGTGCAGCGAGACAGATTAGCTGAGGTGACGTGACGCTAACAGACAAACGGCTAGCAGTGACATCAGTGGCAATCCACCTGTCACTCAAGTGGACACGCCCTTAATTATGCAGAACCTTGAGGCTTAATATAATTTAAACAGATGAGTTATGAAAATATTCACCCCCCTCACAGTTGTCATGAAGGGCAAGATTAGCTTTATAGACCAAAACCATTTTAGTACCAGGCTGTAAACATGTTTTATTCTGCTGTTAAGTTGGGCATTTTAACATGGTGGTCTATGGGATTGACTCTCTTTTGCAGCCGGTCTCTAGTGGCCAGTGGATGAACTGCAGTTTTAGTCACTTCCGTGTTGGAGAGACAGGAAGGTTGCCGCTTGGGAGTTTTCAGTCTGCTTGTATCTATACAGTATCTAGTCACACGCAGGGTTTATTTTCACTTGGTAAGACACTTACTAAAGGATGGAGATTTGCTGTCTTACCCTCCGTCCCGCCTCGTTGTTATGAAGGTTCATCAGCAGTCTGGCACTTTCCACAGAGCCTTTAGCGAAGTTTTTTTCCCGTTCGCGGGCATCCACAAACTCCTTGCTGAAGCGGTATCCATAGTTGAGGTTGTCTCCGCATCCGCCCCACAGCCAGTCCCTCGGCAGATCCTTCGGTCTCGCGGCTCGACTGCATCCGCAGCTCGACAGCTCCCCCTCTCTGCAGGCTCGACTCACTGCATTCACCACACCGGCCGCGCTGATTGCGAACGTGAACGCCGTCTCTCGGCTCCCTGGGGAATTCAGTTAGCTTTGTTTATTTGCTTTTATTATGAGCAACAGTGTAACAACTAAACCTTCTTCATTTATCTTATGAACACTGACCGATTTCCATTCCATTTATCATTTTCTTGAGATGTCAGAGTTTAAAAACATTCAACTTCAAACTAAACAGCCTAAACTATAAAGGCATGTTTGGATGCATGACATACTGCTAAAAAAAAGTTTATCTAAAACTTAACCTTAAATCTTAAATCTAACTTAAATCCAGATATCAAGAGGCAAAATGACTTAAAGCGATAGTTTACCCAAAAATCTAAATTAGCCCATGATTTACTCACCCTCAAGTCATCCTAGGTGTATATGACATTCTTCATTCAGACAAATACAATCAGAGTTATATTAAACATTTCCTGGCTCTTCCTTTATAATGGCAGTGAATGGAAGGATTTTTTTTGAAGTCCATCAAAGTGCATCTATCCATGATAAAAGTGCATCTGTCCATCATAAAAGTGCATCTGTCCATCATAAAAGTGCATCTGTCCATCATAAAAGTGCATCTATCCATCATAAAAGTGCATCTATCCATCAAAAAAGTGCATCTGTCCATCATAAAAGTGCATCTATCCATCATAAAAGTGCATCTATCCATGATAAAAGTGCATCTATCCATGATAAAAGTGCATCTATCCATCATAAAAGTGTACCTATCCATCATAAAAGTGCATCTATCCATCATAAAAGTGCATCTATCTATGATAAAAGTGCATCTGTCCATCATAAAAGTGCATCTATCCATCATAAAAGTGCATCTATCCATGATAAAAGTGCATCTGTCCATGATAAAAGTGCATATGTCCATCATAAAAGTGCATCTGTCCATCATAAAAGTGCATCTGTCCTTCATAAAAGTGCATCTGTCCATCATAAAAGTGCATCTGTCCTTCATAAAAGTGCATCTATCCATCATAAAAGTGCATCTGTCCATCATAAAAGTGCATCTGTCCATCATAAAAGTTCATCTATCCATCATAAAAGTGCATCTATCCATCATAAAAGTGCATCTATCCATCATAAAAGTGCATCTATCCATGATAAAAGTGCATCTATCCATCATAAAAAGTGCATCTGTCCATCATAAAAGTGCATCTATCCATGATAAAAGTGCATCTATCCATGATAAAAGTGCATCTGTCCATCATAAAAGTGCATCTATCCATGATAAAAGTGCATCTATCCATGATAAAAGTGCATCTATCCATCATAAAAGTGCATCTGTCCATCATAAAAGTGCATCTATCCATGATAAAAGTGCATCTATCCACCATAAAAGTGCATCTATCCATCATTAAAGTGCATCTGTCCATCATAAAAGTGCATCTATCCATGATAAAAGTGCATCTGTCCATCATAAAAGTGCATCTGTCCATCATAAAAGTGCATCTATCCATCATAAAAGTGCATCTGTCCATCATAAAAGTGCATCTATCCACCATAAAAGTGCATCTATCCATCATTAAAGTGCATCTGTCCATCATAAAAGTGCATCTATCCATCATAAAAGTGCATCTGTCCATCATAAAAGTGCATCTATCCATGATAAAAGTGCATCTATCCACCATAAAAGTACATCTATCCATCATTAAAGTGCATCTATCCATGATAAAAGTGCATCTGTCCATCATAAAAGTGCATCTGTCCATCATAAAAGTGCATCTATCCATCATAAAAGTGCATCTGTCCATCATAAAAGTGCATCTATCCATGATAAAAGTGCATCTATCCATGATAAAAAGTGCATCTGTCCATCATAAAAGTGCATCTATCCATGATAAAAGTGCATCTATCCATCATAAAAGTGCATCTATCCATCATAAAAGTGCATCTATCCATGATAAAAGTGCATCTATCCACCATAAAAGTGCATCTGTCCATCATAAAAGTGCATCTATCCACCATAAAAGTGCATCTATCCATGATAAAAGTGCATCTATCCATCATAAAAGTGCATCTATCCATGATAAAAGTGCATCTATCCACCATAAAAGTGCATCTATCCATCATAAAAGTGCATCTATCCATGATAAAAGTGCATCTATCCACCATAAAAGTGCATCTGTCCATCATTAAAGTGCATCTGTCCATCATAAAAGTGCATCTATCCATGATAAAAGTGCATCTATCCATCATAAAAGTGCATCTGTCCATCATAAAAGTGCATCTGTCCATCATAAAAGTGCATCTATCCACCATAAAAGTGCATCTATCCATCATTAAAGTGCATCTGTCCATCATAATAGTGCATCTATCCATCATAAAAGTGCATCTATCCATCATAAAAGTGCATCTGTCCATCATAAAAGTGCATCTGTCCATCATAAAAGTGCATCTGTCCATCATAAAAGTGCATCTATCCATCATTAAAGTGCATCTATCCATCATAAAAGTGCATCTGTCCATGATAAAAGTGCATCTGTCCATCATAAAAGTGCATCTGTCCATCATAAAAGTGCTCCAGAGGGTTAATGAAGGCCTTCTGAAGCGAAGCCATGTGTTTGTGTAAGAAAAATATCCATATTTAAAACTTTATGGACTAACTAGCTTCCGGCAGCAATGCGTAATGCTTCGGGTCAAAGGTAATGTGTCGGGTCAGAGGTCACTCTTTTGCCAAAAATCGATACGTGCGGCCGTCTGTCGGAAGCTGGTTATTTTAGTTTTAAATATGGCTATTTTTCTGCTTCAGAAGGCCGTTATTAACCACCTAGAGCCGTGTGGAGCACTTTTATGATGGATAGATGCACTTTTTGTGCTTCAAAATCTTGTCCTCCATTCACTCCCGATATAAAACTTGGAAGAGCCAGGACATTTTTTAATATAACTCTGATTGTGTTCGTCTGAAAGAAGAAAGTCATATACACCTAGGATGCCTTGATGGTGAGTAAATCATGGGCTAATGTTCATTTTTGGGTGAACTAAAAATGTGGCGTCTTCTGTGGCGTCCTCCTCGGAGCTGAGCTGAGCTGACCAGTGTGACCAAGCCCGTACGGAGGGTGTTATACCGAGGTCCCAAAAAGGGTTTTAGGAGGTTGGGGGGCATGTTTCTGCTTATTGTTGACAATACACAATCACATATCCCAAACTGGAATGGCCTTAAATGGGATAAGTTTCAAGGATTATTTTGCATAGATGTTACATTTCAATCAAACGCCAGTGCAATCCTTCTGTGTCCAGAGGCATATGAGCAATTAGTATGAGCATCAAAGGTTTCAGCGACTTTTTCTTTTGCTAAATTAATCAATGTTTTTGGACTAATCTGTTCATTTAATGGTTCAACTGCTCACTCATAAAGACCAACTACTGGCTTAATGATGCAAGTTACGCAAACACAGACAAGTGGAGTGATACAAACAGTGAAATCTCCCAGTGCTGATACTGGGGAAATATTCAAACACATTCGAGGAATACAAATATATATATATTTATACAATAACAATGCCAATATATTGGTGCTTGTGTTGTTAAATTGAGCTGATAGTTTGCACTGTCATTAGCAAAGAACATATGTACAGTATATCTGTGATAAATAGATAATAATGTAAATCTCATTCTGGGCACAGTATGCAATACCTGCTCTTCCTCTCTCATCTCCTAAAACCTTCATTATACACACTTGAGAAAGTGGTGGTCCGGCCCTGGATGTGAGTACCTGTGTGCAGGACTCTGCCGAACACTGAGGAGTTGTCCACCGTACTGCAGTTCCAGCGGCGCTGGCTGAACTGGCGTTGGCACTCGCTGATGCCCGTCTGAGCGCCCGCTCCGATGAACTGCATGTGGTCCTGGTACAGCTGGCAGAGCTTCCTCTGACCCGGGGACAGTCCTGTGAGCTGACTGCACAGCGGCTGACCCCCGATGATATACGCCTCTGGGATCAGGAGGGGGTTCATCGCCAGAGACCTGGAGATATACACACGCATTCAGACATGATGTATTTGATTATTGCATTAAGGCAAGACACCCCAGGTGAATAGGGTAAACAAAATAACTAATATACAACCAGACTTCAACATAGTGTCGGCCCACATCTGGTAAGTGTTGAATCCACATGTACCGGATCTGGGCCGACACTATGTCACTGTCTGGGTATAACCATACTTCCCCAGTTGATTGATTACATAAAGAATTGCAAATAATTTTGTATTGCAAGTTTTTTTTTAAATGTTATGTTTGAATATGCAAATAAGGCACTACCTAATTAAATATGCACTAATTTGCATAAATTCCTAGAACAAAAACATGAACATTAGAGTCAAAGGGTTTTACAGAGAGGATTTTGGATTTCTCTTTTTATCACTCTTGCATGAATCAGAAAATACTGTCAACAGCCAAAAAAAATGTATTCACAATTTTTTTAGGAGTAAAATGGCCAAGTCTTACAGAGCTGTGGGCCAGAGCGCTTTGCATGACATGGCTTAAACAGCTGCACGAGGGCAGAGCTGACCCAGGGCTGATGAAGGGCTGGGCCAGGGGAGGTCCACTCTAGTGGGTTAGGAACACCACCTATGGCTCAACTTGGCGGATGTGAGGGGGTCTGAGCGAACCCAGTTCCTCAACAGGGCGTTAGGAGAACTCGCTGCCTTCTCACTCTGCCAATCTGAGGAACCGGACCCCGCCCTCACCACGGGTCGCTGCGCCGCCATGCCAGGGCGTCTGTTCCACCTCGCTGCCCCACGGCGGGTACGCTTGTGGGATGCACCCCGCTGGTTCGGTTCCTGGGAGCCTGGCTAGAGCTCCCAGCCCGTCCCGCTGGCTCATCCGAACGATCAGGCTCAGCTATGCGATTCAATTCACCCGGCACCACGAAGGTCGCGGAGGCGGCTCTTACTCCACTCAGGGAGCAGGGTGTTCGTATTCTCAACTACCTCGACGACTGGCTGATTCTAACTCACTCTCGGGAACAGTTGTGTGAACACAGGGATCTGGTGCCCAACTGGGCCTGGTCAACTGGGAAAAGAGCAAACTGTCCCCTGTGCAGAGGATCTCTTTTCTCGGTATGGAGATAGACTCGGTTGTCATGTTCACGCAGATTACGAGCAAGTGCACTCAGTCACTGCTGAATTTCTCATGGACAGGACCCCAACTTCAGTGGCATATCAATTGCCTGGAGTTCCTCGCAGTACGTCTTGCTCTGCACCGCTTCAGGACGCTGCTAAGGGGCAAGCACGTACTGGTCCAGACGGACAACACTGCGACAGGAGCGTACATCAACCGCCAGGGTGGTCGCAACCCGCTCGCCATCTCCTCTTACGGAGTCAGAAGCATTTGAGATCGCTTTGTGCCATTCACATCCTGGGCAAGCTAAATCGTGCAGCCGACGAACTCACGACAGCTCTCTTGCCCAGGGAATGGAGACTCCATCCCCAGATGGTTCAGCTGATTTGGGAACGCTTCGGAGATGCACAGGAGATCTGTTCCACTCTTGCCATCTCCGAAGTTGAAATATATTCCACTCTGTGGTTGGGTTACCTCACATGATTTCCATTACACGAGAGTAGATGTTAAAACTTCATGCTGATTTGTACTCGGCTTTCGCCAAGATAAGCAACACTAAGACGTAGCTTTACAGTAAACTATGCTTCTCCATCCATTTACGCTTCTTTCCATAAGGTGGTGTGACTCTCCTTCTGTCCGGCGTTAACGGCTGCAGTGTACTTGGCGCGTCAGCACACGCGACGGCTGCAACTACAGTGTGGTCTCCCTAGTGGACCAGCACGACAACCGTCTGGATTGAGCTGAGTAGGGGACATCTCTAGGGTCTTTAAGTGGGCACCTTCCGTCCTCAGTGTTTCGTCGACTAGGCCACGACACCTCAAGAGGGCTCGACAGTGACTCTGGCGTCCCAGAGTCACCCCCCTCCGTCCCTCACTCAACTCAGCCCAGCTTACTGACCTCTACATCCCTCCTGCTGCTGAGACCTAACCACAATCTCACAATCTCTCCGCAGCCCAACCATATGCGCCAACCCGTTTGACTAAGGCTGTCGAACCCCACTGGTGCGTTAATGCAGTTTCAGTGGCAACGGTTCCGTATGGCATACCACCTACCGCAAAACACAATATCTGCCCAAACACGAACCCTCATTCACGCAATATACACAGGAACGTAATGACTGTAAATACTATACATCCTATACAAATAAACCAACAGACTCTTCAAGTTTTTCAAGAATTCTACGAAGCCGTAGCGTAGCGGCCTGTACACAGCCAGCTAGAATCTTTCCGTCTCAACCACAGCCAGTTGCTGCTCCTTTCTGCTGCTTCAGATAAGTTTTTTACTGTGCGACGCAACTCTTGGCCACTGAATCCGACGTCTCTGAGGAACCGGGTTGTAGAGTGTGCCACAAAACCTCGACAACCCACTTCCACTGGATAAACCTGGACTCTCCATCCTCGCTGTTCTGCTTCAGTGGCCAGATGAGCATACCGCAGTTTCTTCCTCTCATATGCCTCATCTACCGCATCCTCCCATGGCCTAGGCGGTTCATATGTGTATTATAAGACCTCCCTACTTACATTTTTCCAGACGGGATTAAGCTACCCAGTGTACCTTGGTAACTCTTGCGTTAGCCTAGCCCTTCGCTCGTGCTGGCCTCACGACAGGGAGCTGTGGCTTGCACACAGCCATTGTGGCGTTTTGGATAGGACCCCATTCATCAGTCGTTCTGACATTACGCAGAACGTGACTGACTGAAAGGGAACGTCTCGGTTACGTATGTAACCATTGTTCCTTGAAAGAGGGAACGGAGACGTTATGTCCCCTTGCCACAATCGCTGTGCCGCTGAACGGCCGGGACACACCTCTCGGCTCCTCAGCGAAGAACTTGAATGCGAGTATGCCTCATACACACACACAGAGGGGCGGAGCTCGCGATGCAAATTCCGCAGACCAAGGTACTTTGCATATCATTGGCTCGTTTTGTACCACTCGAAGGTGACCCCATTCATCAGTCGTTCAGACGTTAGATGCAGATGGATAACGCGAGCCATTATTGATTAAAGTCCCTCTGTAGTCAATAACTTTATCCCTTAAAACTCATCTTTGATCACCAAAATTACATTTACAAAAAAATATGCGTCATGCCTTAAAATATCTCGAATGTAACTCGACACCCTTGCCTCATTTAGTATGCGCGGTTCTATGAATATGCAGATGAGCCCCGCCTCCACTCACTCCCTCAGCTCAGAGATCCACTGGTTGACGATCACACGTTGATCTGATTGGTTACAAGGTCGTTTGTGATGTCAGAAACACCAGCGATTTCAAACCGTGTTTTTGAGACTGTCTTTGGTTCACTGCAGTTTTAAGGAGGAAATACTCAGCAATGCTGTCGACTTATGAACTTACACATGGTGTGTCTTAAAGCATATTAAAAACACCACATAGACACATAAACAACATTAAACACTGGATTTACACCACAGGGGGACTTAAACATCTAAGAATGTAAATTAGCTCCGAGTGATTACTGTAAGTGCAGTGCAGTTTGTGCGTCTCTCAGAATCGGAGTTTAACACGGGTAAAATACTGCATCATACACATTTTCTATTTGATACGATTATTTGAAATGTTTGAATTCTTCTAAGAGAGATACATGATATGATGCTTCACTCATTCCCAGAATAGTGATAAAAAAGGAAGTTTATTTAGAGCATTTCTTACACTGGAAATTCAAATTTGAACAAGAAAGAGACAAAGCAAATAAAACATTAACAATAAAGTATGAACCATCTAATTCTTGCAGTATTTTTGAGATGATAGTATCATGATGTTTAGTCTCTTGCCCACTGGAGGATGTGTTCTAGAGAATTCCATCAGTGTTTGTTAATTACAGTCGTCAGTCTTTGAAGTGGATCAGAAAAGTTCATCAAAGTTGTCCTAAGACAAGATCGGGTTTTGTACAAAAAATTCATGTATATCTTTGATGAAAGGTTTTGATCCACTTCAAGTGTTGACGACTGTACAGTGACCTGTGTTCTGTCACGCACCACCAGGAGCTGGCGTCCACAAGCACAATAAAGCAGAAGGCCACGGCCACCGAGACGGAGCTCATCAGCTTCAGCTTCAACATCACTGCGGCCTGGAGAAACAAGAGAGTCACATCTTACTGAAGTGTGTGTGTGTGTGTGTGTGTGTGTGTGTGTGTGTCTTCAACATCACTGCAGCCTGGAGAAACAAGAGAGTCACATCTTACTGAAGTGTGTGTGTGTGTGTGTGTGTGTGTGTGTGTCTTCAACATCACTGCAGCCTGGAGAAACAAGAGAGTCACATCTTACTGAAGTGTGTGTGTGTGTGTGTGTGTGTGTGTGTGTCTTCAACATCACTGCAGCCTGGAGAAACAAGAGAGTCACATCTTACTGAAGTGTGTGTGTGTGTGTGTGTGTGTGTGTGTGTCTTCAACATCACTGCAGCCTGGAGAAACAAGAGAGTCACATCTTACTGAAGTGTGTGTGTGTGTGTGTGTGTGTGTGTGTGTCTTCAACATCACTGCAGCCTGGAGAAACAAGAGAGTCACATCTTACTGAAGTGTGTGTGTGTGTGTGTGTGTGTCTTCAACATCACTGCAGCCTGGAGAAACAAGAGTCACATCTTACTGAAGAGTGTGTGTGTGTGTGTGTGTGTGTGTGTGTGTCTTCAACATCACTGCAGCCTGGAGAAACAAGAGTCACATCTTACTGAAGAGTGTGTGTGTGTGTGTGTGTGTGTGTGTGTCTTCAACATCACTGCGGCCTGGAGAAACAAGAGTCACATCTTACTGAAGAGTGTGTGTGTGTGTGTGTGCTTTTGTTTTTGTGATATATGAGGACACAAATGTGTATAATGACATGCATATTACACTGGTATTACAACTTACACGTGATATATGAGGACATTGCATGAGTCCTCATATTTCAAATAGCTTAAAAAACATAAAAAACAATGTTTTTTTTTTTATGTAAAAATGCAGCATGTCTCCTGTGATGGGTAGGTTTAGGGATAGGGGCAGTGTGTGTGTGTGTGTGTGTGTGTGTGAGATGGGCAGGTTTAGGGATAGGGGCAGTGTGTGTGTGTGATGGGCAGGTTTAGGGATGGGGCAGTGTGTGTGTGTGTGTGTGTGTGTGTGTGTGTGATGGGCAGGTTTAGGGATAGGGGCAGTGTGTGTGTGTGTGTGTGTGTGTGTGTGATGGGCAGGTTTAGGGATAGGGGCAGTGTGTGTGTGTGTGTGATGGGCAGGTTTAGGGATAGGGGCAGTGTGTGTGTGTGTGTGTGTGTGTGTGTGTGTGTGTGTGTGTGTGTGTGTGTGTGTGTGTGTGTGTGTGTGTGTGTGTGTGTGTGTGTGTGATGGGCAGGTTTAGGGATAGGGGCAGTGTAGGGGGATAGAATATACAGTTTGTCCAGTATAAAAATCATTACGCCTATGGAATGTCCTCATATATCACAAAAACACAGCTGTGTGTGTGTGTGTGTGTGTGTTTAACCTCACTGCAGCCTGGAGAAACAAGAGAGTCACATCTTACTGAAGAGTGTGTGTGTGTGTGTGTCTTCAACATCACTGCAGCCTGGAGAAACAAGAGTCACATCTTACTGAAGAGTGTGTGTGTGTGTGTGTGTGTGTGTGTGTGTGTGTGTGTGTGTGTGTGTCTTCAACATCACTGCAGCCTGGAGAAACAAGAGTCACATCTTGCTGAAGAGTGTGTGTGTGTGTGTGTGTGTGTGTGTGTGTGTGTGTGTGTGTCTTCAACATCACTGCAGCCTGGAGAAACAAGAGAGTCACATCTTACTGAAGAGTGTGTGTGTGTGTGTGTGTGTGTGTGTGTGTGTGTCTTCAACATCACTGCAGCCTGGAGAAACAAGAGAGTCACATCTTACTGAAGTGTGTGTGTGTGTGTGTGTGTGTGTGTGTGTGTGTGTGTGTGTGTGTGTGTGTGTGTGTGTGTGTGTGTGTGTGTTAACCTCACTGCAGCCTGGAGAAACACACACACACACACACGTACATCTGAACTGCACATGAACTGAACTACTTCTCATATATGAAATGCACAATTTAAAATGCAGAGTATGAATGTACATATTAGGTCAATTTTAATGAATGAAGCCCACTTAGATACGCATAATGGGTCTCATTCATGAAACATTCGTAAATATACGAGTAAATATGCGAGTGATTTGCGTGTAAAGAGACCTTCCCGAAAACTCTTCTCCTGATTCACAAATACTTCGTAAACGTCAGATGTGATAGTGAAATGTGTGTGTGTGTGTGTGTTAATGAATTCCAATCAGTCGTAAATGGGATGCGTGTGCACGTTCATTCTCAATTACCATAAATCCCGCCCATTAAATCCGACTGACAACTATATATGGGCATCAAATTATGACATGAATGCGAATGAAAAAAAAAATTCTCAGATGCAGAAATTGAAGTTTTATTATCAGAAGTTCATTCAAAACGCCACATTTTATTTTCAAGCGTATGGAATGCCAAAGCTGACTTAATTAAAAATAAATAAATACATAAATAAATATACAAAGAAATGTAAAAAAGTACAAATAAATGAGTATTTATACTTTTATTTCCTTATTTATGTATAATTGTATTTTTTCACACATTTATTTATTTTTTTATTTATACATTTATTCATTTATTTATTTCCACTTTTATTTATTTCCACATTCATTTATGTATTATGTTTTTATGTCTACATTCATTTATTTTCACATTTATTTATTTCCACATTTATTTATTTCCAAATTTATTTATTTCCACATTTATTTGTCCGTATGCTAATGAGGGGGGCGTGTTTTACCTCAGACATCAGCAATCGAGCTCAGAGTGGCAGTGCTGAAGCTTTGAGGCCACAGTTACACCTTGTGGTGTGTGACCAAACGAAATGCAAGAGGTGTGCGGACAATTGCACATTTTAAGTCATGTATATCACCCTAACTGTATGTAGGGTAGACTATATAGGGTTAATAGGTCATTTTATTTTACTGATAACAGCCATAGTGCCTTATTATAATTATAACTGAGTAGTTTATCGATTAATATTAAGAACTTGACATATATGATGATGTATAGCCTACCTATTTAATAAGGTTAGGGTAGATATAAAATCAATTTAATGGGGGGAAATATCAGCACGACCATGGGCACGACAGGTGCTGTTTGATGGGCATGATGATGCTTCTGTCCTCCACTGCATGGCGTGAGATGCGTGGCTCACTCGCTGCGTTCACATGAGCCCCATTTGTTTGATTTAAGAATAATTCCAAATTGATGATTTGTGATTAATCAGTATCTAAGAGCAGCATCTATGAAATATGGGTTGTGTTTTAAGCATTTGAATTGTCACCTGTTATGCATACGAAATTATGAAACGCGAATGTAAACCGTGTATTGAGTCGCGTTTCAAACTCATTGATCAATATTGCGTAGGAGTCAGTGAAATGTGCGCTGGTTTCTCTCCGCGTTCTGCGCTGGTGTGCGAGTCTAATAAATAAAAGTGGAAATAAATAAATGAATAAATGTATAAATAAAAAAATAAATAAATGTGTGAAAAAATACAATTATACATAAATAAGGAAATAAAAGTATAAATACTCATTTATTTGTACTTTTTTACATTTCTTTGTATATTTATTTATGTATTTATTTATGTATTTTTGCTTTTTTACATTTATCCGTATATTTATTTATGTATTCATTTATTTTTTGTGTACATAGTGGCGTATCGGGTCCTAAAAAAAGGAAGCTTGGCAGCATTACAGATGCAGTTACTGGAGTTTCATCTGTTAATCGAACACTCCCAGAAGTGAGAAGAAAAGGGTTCGACATTAAGCTTGAGAGCAAAAAACGAATTAGTTCACTTCGGAAAAATAGTATTCAAACTGGAGAAGGACCACCATCGCAGATGCTATTACTGGCTCTCATAATAAGAAAAACCGTATGTAATTACTATATATAATATTTTTTCAAAATGCTGTGCAAATATGTACCCGATTATGGTGAATTAAAATGCAGCCTTATTAATGAGCAAAACGTTCGGGTGTTAAGCGCACTATTTACGCGTGGCTGGGAGCAGGTGTAGATTTCTTGTGTACCAACTAACATTTGGAAAATACGAACATTTTAATGAATCCGAAAATTTACGCCAGAACCACTTTACACACGATTTACACAAAAATTCGTTCTGCTCGTGTTTCATGAATGAGACCCTGTTGTTCATAATATTATACATTATAATAATGTAAATCTTCTAATAGTTATATTTAGCTGCAAATGTTTACGGTAGCTACACTGTTAACTTTCGCTGTAGATTTAGCAGCACAGTACTGTAAAAACCTACAGTACAATACTGCATTTCTATATTACAGTAAAATACCGTAATTTGCATTGCATTCTGGGTAATTTTGTTTGAGCGGGAACATTTTACAGTACATTTTAGTGTTGCTGTAACCTAGCTGTAACCTGGCTGTAACATGCCAGGCAAATATACAGGGTTGCTGTAAACAGAGAGCGCGCGCGCCGCCTGACTGACGTCAGAGCACAACTGCGGCAGTTCACTCACTCAGCGCGGATATCTCACTCTGCGGATATCTGCAAATTTGGTAAGTTAATTTTGAATTTTATAATAAGGTTTAAGGATTTTACGCTATAGTGTGTAGCCTACATAGCTTTTAATGTGAAATGACAGTGGAAGTTTAGCCAGCGACGGTTGCAAAAACACTGTTAAGTTTGTTAACGTTATCTGCTCTTTCACTGCTTGTCCTGACATTTTCAAATTTAACGTTATAACTCCGTGAATTAACATTACCTTACGGTTTATTTCGTCCAAAACAGATTTGGTGATTGTTGGAACGGTGGAAAGACAAATCGAGATGGTCTTTTGTGAGTTTTATTTTGTTTCTGTCGAGTTTTAATTAAATGTGTTTTACGATGGTCTGCGAGATAAAATTATACTGCATTTGACATGTTAGTCTTACTGTTAGGCCTATCTCTGTAGGGAACACCCGAGCCTGTCAGTGGTAAAAACAAGCACTTATAATAGACATATCTTTATTTTGATCAAACTGCTATAGGCCTATTTGCAGTCC